ACCAAATTCATAGTTTTATACTCGAACAAATACAACAGAAAAAAAAAGAAAAACGAAGTATCTTTCAGTGAACATCAAGATTAGAAGGATGTACCATCACCAGCAAATTTCAGATACAGTAGCAATTACCGACTTTTTCAGTTTCACTTATATTTCACGGCACAAAATCCAACACAAAAAAATAATGTAAAAAAATTTTCTTCATTTCAAATTAATACCTGTGAAAAACTAGACTTTTAAATCAAAAACAATACATGTTAGACAAAAAAGTCTTTGTGCATCAGTAGTTTGAAGATAAGTTTGTCTTACTTGAGATACAAGTTTCAAATAAGTGTTTGCTAACAGTACCAGTAACAATAACTTTGAACGAAGAAGAAAAATTAACGAAAAAATGGGTAAAAAAAAACTTTTTTTAGTATAGAACAATACACATTCTGCTTTAATTCTTATAGAAAACGAGCTTTGAATTAATTTTCAGTTAAGGATTTCCACGTCATATTGGAATCCAACTAAAAATAATGTAGCAAATGTAAGAAAAGTGGAAAAATAACAAAATTAGGAAGTTCAGAATATAAACAAAAAAAAAAGGTAAAAAAAACCAAGTTTAGAAAAAAAAAAACAATTTATTAATTTCCCAAACTGATCTTTTCATAGATCCCAAAACAACAACAAAGTCGGTTTTGAATACAACAAAATTCCATTCCGGGTAGTTATGCAAATAGAGTGAACAGAAAAATATGACAACTACTGAAAAAATTTGTCTAATCATCAATCTTTTTTTTTTCTGCTTCACACTGCAACAACTTTTCAGCGACTTCCGACGGTCACCGATTAAATTAACAGATAATGCTAATTTGTCTTCTCTTTTCCGCTTTTTCCTTTTCCTTGCCTTCCCTCTTTCTACGTTTCTTCATTTCATTTTCCTTTTAAATCACACATAAACCGATAAATGAGTGCACCTCTCTTCTACAATAAAAATATCTTGACAATAAAATATCCCTGCATTCACCAGACCTCAATACGTAAACTTTTTCCAGCTCTGTGCTGTACAAACAGTGGCCAAAATAACTCCCTTTTCTTATATGTTGACAATCTTCAATCAACGCTTGAACAAAAAAAAAAAATTGTTTGCATAAATAACCGCAAAGAAAAAAAGATACTTTAATTTCACCAACATAAATATAGTTATTGTGATCGAGCAGATCAATGTGATTTTTACTGTTGTATGCAATATAACCTTAACCATAAATCGCCACATTATCCTGCAGACTTACCGTCGCTACTGGGAATACCATCATCGCCGACCCGTACGCTCATCTTGGTAAATTATACTGGTAGTTCCTGCACCATAGAATTACAAGGCATCCTATACCCACATATATATCCATGCCTAGTCGTTTTTCAAAAACGTTAATGCGTTTACACCGACCCCAATTTACTAAGTGAACGCCAGTTAAGCATACGTAATTATTGTCAACAAAACTTTAACAAATACATGCGTCCACATGTTCGATGAATTACGAACATGCACACATAGCTGCAGTTGATGTAATCAAATAGAATTATCTCTTCCTTTGTATTTCCAATTAGCTGTTAACCAAATGAATACTACCTTTGAACTGACATTCTTTACGCATTTGAGCATGAAGGAATTTTATATGACTGATAACAGAGCTACATTGTTTCTGCAAAAAATTTGCGAAGTACGACTTTATGACAACGTATTTAATAATATTAATGATAATAGTGGTGAAAACAGCCTGTTCTAAACTTTTAATGTAACAATTTCGAACAAGATCCGCAACTAACGATTGAAATGCTCATTTTCGTTCTTCATAAAGATTGATGACGTGATTATGCAACAAAAATGTAACATATCCACAAACAAAGAATTTAGTGGACATGAAGCTTTAAAACAAGCTAACAATTTAAGACTTTCACGCCACCACATAAGAACCGCTTAAAATAATAATTGTTAATCCGAATTTTTACAAATCGTCTACACATCTATAATACAAATATAAGGAAACCCACCAAAAAAATTAGAACTTTGAACATACCTTAAGATAAGGATTGAAATGCTGTTGACTGCAAACCTCTCTGATATTAAACTTCCAATCAATAAACAACTTCTGCTTTTTCTCCACAAGAAACTAAGACAACTTTCTCACCGTTAAAATCGAAGTTGAAAAAAAAAGAAAGATTCGGTCAATACATTTCTGTTGATTAACAGTTCTTAAAGAGCACAAGTAACGTGAAAATTTGAAGCTAGAATATTCCTATAAACAAAAAATTAAAGAAAATAGCAACTTAAAAAAATGCATAGATTAGTGTAATACAAATCGACATTCTTAACACTAATGAATTCCAGTTATGGTTCAAGTAATCGACTAGTGAACCAAAAACAGTCGAAAACAGTTCGAGGTGAAACGAGGAAGCAATATATCATGCAGCAAAAAATATTAAAGTACTGATGGCTGATACTGAGAAAAACTGAAAAAAAAACTATCGTTTTCCACAGCATTCAGTTATTAAATATTAAGAATAATAAGAAGAACAAAGACCAAGAAACTTTCTCTACATTAATAAAATTTTTTACATGTGGACTGAACTGTATTACATCAGTTGTACAGAAGCGAAAGAATCAGTTAATTTTCTTCAAAAGTTGTTAAGATGTAAGAAGAGAATGCAAAAAGAACACGAGATCTTGAGCATAGAATAAAAAAAAATAAGAAGACTTCAACTAACTACACCGCTTACTTAAAGATGAAGGCAAAATTTCCTATATGAACAAATGTACAACAAAAAAAAAATCCCCGATTATAATACCATTATCTGATCCTAAAACAAATGTAAGCTGTAAACGTCGTTTTTCTTTTTGAATTAAAGCTCTAATATAAAGAGTAAGACTAAAGTAAAATGACCTAGCATATGCTCAATAACATAACAGTAGCACTTGTTAAACCATGCTAATTTACAATTTATCACAAAAATTTTTTTAAAGCTCTAGCTGAAAATTAGGGAAAAAAGAAACGAAACGCTAGTCTGGCAGAAGAATAGGCATTTTCGGCAGTAATTCAAGAACTAGTACGTATTCGGTTAAACTGTGATTCATGTCAGCCGGCCGTCGAGCCAAATGCCAATGCAATCCCAGCTTATTGTAAAGAACTTGATTTTCACGATCTAGTGTCTTCTCCAATGCATGAACGGTCTATAACACCTGATATTATTATATCAATTAAAATTTCCCTTTCTCTCTCCTACTTCTCTGAGGAAAAGCCAAAAAAAAAA